AAACATTTCACAAACTAACAGTATGAAACTAGAGTTAGCAATAAACACTCAATCAGTCAGTGCTTCCACCAGATATATGACATAACATATCATAAATTATCACAAAATGCGAAAAAAATTCACAAACTGATAGTGTCAAAGTAGGGTTTGCAAAAAACACTCAATAAGTCCGTGCTTCCACCAGATATTCACATAAGTGGCATAACATATCACAAAATCGCATAACAACTCACAAATTCAAATTTAAAAAACTAGGGTTAGAAGATTTACTTCGTTTCTCACAGATACCCCGGAGAACAATGGCTTCTTTTTACAAATATCACCAGTAGAGGTCATAGCACCAGCACCAACAACAAGGGCTTCCACCATACCTGAGATGCTAAGACCAGACCACCGGAGTACCGGACTACACAACGGGTGGTTGTGGAACTGAGAGATTGAGAGACTAGGAGTAACGGGGTATCAAAGAGTGGGAGAGAAATCTCAGATTCTCAGAGATTTAGAGAATCAGAGAAATAGAGATTAGAGAATGAGACTACGAGAGTATGAGAGAATGAGTCTACGAGAGAAACGGAGAAAGAAACCCTAGGCTTCAACTGCGTGATGAGAAAATGAGGAGAGATCTGAAGGATTAACCCTACGCTATATTGGATAATCGGACGGGTCGGGAGAATTAATTCATCACCCAATTCGGAACCTCATTACACGACGTCGTTTTATGGGGCAGTTCGGTTTTCCATCTTCGGGTTCGGTTTTCACCGGTTTGGGTAAACCAAACTTCGGTTCGGTCGGGTTCTTGGGCCATTCTGAGCGTTTCTGTGGCCGTCAGTTTGAGCAATGCGGGGTGGCGGTGGACAAGATGTATGGGTCGTGGCTCCAAGCTCAGGGGCGGCGTACGGGCAGCGGTGGCTTGTTAATTGTGGTTCAAAAAATCACGGGCCTATGTGGAAGACGGTTATCAACGTAAAATGCGGCATGCATTATGCCAGCGTGCGACGTGTGCATGGGTAATGGCAATGCTGAGGGAAGCGAGGCGGAGGTGGTGGGTACAGACGTGTGCATGGCGAATTTTAAGGGAAAGGAGGGTGACATGGGGGGTGGAGGACTAGGTCATGGAGTGGTTATTTTGGAGCAAAAAAGGCGCAGAGTTGATTGGAGGAGTGAGGACGACGTGATTTCGATGGGAATAGCGATAACAGGGGGCATGCATTGACACCAAACAACATGAATGAGGCGGGCTGTGCTATGCAGGCTCGTCGGGATCAATGAGTCTTCTGGCGTGGAATTGTTGGGGGCTTGGCAACCCGTCGGCAATTCAAGTTTTGTTGGATATTATCCAATGTAAACGGCCGAAGGTGTTGTTCCTGTGTGAGACGAAGTGTGGATGAGATAGGCTAGAGGTGGTGCGACTGCAACTGGGGTTTGAGGGTTGTTTGGGGGTTGGCAGTGTGGGGCATGGGGGTGGTGTTGTTTGGTACTGGAAGACTGGGACGGAGGTGGAGGTGATGGGTTACTCGCTCAATTAGATTGATACACAGGTGCGGCTAAAGGGTGGTGGTGAGTGGTGGCGGTTCACGGGTTTTTACGGGTACCCTGAGAGGGCCTGTCGAAGAGAGGTGTGTGCATTGTTGAGGCATTTAGCTACTCTATATTCTATGCCTTGGGTAGTGATGGGGGGATTCAATGGCCTCTTGAGTATGGAGGAGAAAACGGACAGGTGCCTCATCTGGAATGGCTAGCGCGACGGTTTAGGGCAACTGTGTTTGAGAGTGGATTGGAGGACTTTCATTTTGAGGGGTACCAATTTACGTGGGAGCGGGGGAGGGGCACGGTAGGGTGGGTTAAGGATAAACTGGATAGAATTTTGGTGAACGGGGTCTGGAGGGAGATGTTCAGGTGCGCGAATGCGTGATCGCTTGAAGGATCTTCGAGTGATCACCTTCCACTCTGCTTATCTCCGTTGCAGGTGGAGATGTGAGGCATCGACGAACGATAAGGTTCTTGCACTAGCTCAAAGTTTTTGGGTAGGATGGAGTAGGGTGCATGAACGTGATGGCGAGGAAGGTAGGGAAGGGGTGGAGCGTGGCGTTCAACGGTGGTAGAAACCAAGTATGGGGAGATGCAAGCTAAATATAGATGCAGCCTATGATGGTGGTAGCTATGCTTCGGGGTTTGGATGGGTGCTTCGGGATCATGATGGTGCGTTTAAGGCGGCCATGGTAATTCCAAGGGGGGTGGCGAGGGATGCTCAGTCGACAGAGGCCTTGGGTGTCCGAGAAGTGTTAAGCTGGCTCAAGGACACGCGGGTGATGGCGGTGGATGTCGAGATGGATGTGAAGATGGTGTTTGATGCCTTCCATGGTGATATGGGTGGTCCTTACTTTGATCTTATTTTAGATGACACTAAAGTTATTTCTGAGTCTATTGTTGATTTGCACTTCTGATTTGTTAAACGTTCAACGAACCAGGTTGCCCATGTACTAACTAGGGAGTCTGGTTCTATATCTGAGCGTATAGTTTGGTTTGATGTTCCTCCAATGTTTATTGTAAGTGCTTTGGCGTTTGATAATGAAAGTTAGTTGTGTTTTGGCCAAAAAAAAAACAACAAAATAAAAACAACAAAAATACAACCAATTCAAGTAAAAAATACATTTTTAAATTTTAACCAGGATTATGTGGTCCAATGGTACCCGGGTTGGACTTTCATGTGGAAGGTTGTGAGTTCGAGCCTCAGTAGAGGCGTTATTAGCTCTTTGTGTTTCAATAGGTTGAAGGTTGTGAGTTCGAGCCTCAGTGGAGGCGTTATTAGCTCTTTGTGTTTCAATAGGTTGAGAAAGTATATGAACAAATACTACAATGTAATAGAGCTAGTAGCATTCAAAAAAAAAAAAAAAAAAAAAAACCCAGTAACAACCTAAAATAGGGGCGAAAACGAAATTGCGTAACATAATACATAGGAATATTTTCACTTCCCTATGACTAACATACAAAGTAAAAGAAAAAATCACAACAAATTTTTGTCTCACATACAAACGCACCCAAAGAACATATATACCAAAAACACACAAAATATAAAGAAAAAACCATACCAAGGATTACAAGGTTGCTGAAGAGTTGTTTGAATGAAGATGAATGAGGATGTTTGGCGGTGAAGAAGTGGCCGATGGAGGATGAATAAAAAAATAGGACAAGAGAAAAGGCCAAAATGATTTTAATTGGAAGGGGTAAAGGATGTCATTTATTTAAAATAATAACAATAAAGATGACAAAAAAAAAAAAAGTTTAGAAGTTACTAGCTTATTTTTAAAACGCTACCATGGTAGCATTTCAAATAAGCTATTATTTTTAGCTACTAGTTTATTTTGAGAACATTACCAAACAGAATTTATAGCTTATTAATAGCTTAAAATAAGCTTTATCAAATAGAACCATAAATATTTTTATTACTAGTTCACCTTACAAATTTGCTTCATTAAATAGAAAATTTTAAATTTAATCCTTATTTTTAAAAAAAAAAAAATTAACGTAATAATTCATAAATAATATGTTAGGCCATTAGGGCATGTTATTAATCAAAAATTTTTTATTTTGTTTAAAAAAAAAAATAAATAATACAAGAATATAAACTAAAAAACTAAATAAATAAAATAATTGGTCTTCTTGATGTGGCTTCAAATCATTAATTTCCCATGAATTGGTTATCCAATGATGCTATGTCAAGCGGAAAAAGTTGTAGGGAAAAAAATGGTATGTAACATTATTCTTAAAATAAACGCTTTCTTAAATTCCCATCCTTAGACAATCCTTGTACTATGAACGTTCCAGATCTCTGGTCTAGGTGTCTTATGTTTTAAGTTTTTGTATTTTGTATTATAAAATTTTATATTTAAAATAAATTAGTAATTGTGTTTATGTTATTAATGTCTGCGTCTTGTGTTGTGAAATTATGTACCTATAAATACAAATTATGTATCAAAATCATATGTGAAAAATAAGTAAATGTATAACATGTGCATGTATCTTGTGTTGTGATTTTTTGTGTTTTGTGTTATGAAATTATGTACCTTACGAGTATGAATTATGTATCTCGTCGTTTCAATCCAGGGTCAATAATGTTATGTGGACCTTAGTCCATGATATAAAATGTCATCTTTAGATGTGCCTGCAATTTAACAAAGGGATTAGTCTATGTTCAACGATGAAAATCCTGAATTATCTCAAAAATAATAAAAAATAAAAGCGTTCATAAATTTTAGGAATTACCTGGCAAATTATATCGTGCACCACGGTGCATAATCGATTATACACCGAGCTTCAAAACGATGTCGTTTTGTTTAATGAAAAGAAATGGCACCCGTTTCGCGCCGTTCTGCAAAAAGTAAATCTGTTATTCAGCTTCATTTTGTAAACACTGCAATTTCAGTTCAACACAACTACAGTTTCATTTCGATATAACTACTGTTTCATTCGACATTTATACACTCAAATATGTGAAAATATTATTTTATTTTATTTTATATACATTATAGTTTCATTAAAACACAACTACATGATCATTTCGATATAGCTACAGCTTCATTGCACAATATACACTCAAATATGTGAAATGTTATTCAGTTTCATTTTATATACACTGCAGTTTCATTTCACCACAACTACAATATCATTTTGATATAACTGCAGTTTTATTTGATAATATATAAAAATAATACGTGAGCCAGTGTCGGTTTAGATACACTGTAGTGTCAGTTTAGATACACTATAATTTCAGTTGATAACTGACACACCAAAAATTGTGCGCTTCGTTAACAATAACGGCGCACCGTTTTTTTACTTAAAAAAAAGGCGTGCACCACGATCCACGATATAACAACTGGAATTACCTTGGGTTTATAATTGGATATGTAATTGGGGGGAACAAATATCTTTGTAGCCCAATCCCAAACTAGGTTAGATCAGCAAATATAAGCCCGGCCCATTTTAAGAGTGCGGCAGTACCGCAATAACCACTAACGAGAAAACATACGTAGCCGAAAAGTCTGCAAATCTTCGATTTCATTGCTTTGCAAAGGGGAAAAGTGGTTCAGGTATTCTCACCGTCTCCTTCTCTATCTACACGTGCAATTGTATACATGTGTGTGTATGTAAATACTTGTTTTGATGTTCTATTGATCCATAGATCTCTAGGGTTTAAGGATATGAGGGTTTTGATTTTTTTTTTTTTCTTTTAATCCATGAAGTCCTCTGTAGTGCTGAATAATTGGGTACTGCTTTGATTGCCCTGCTTGTAATGCCTTAAGTTGTTCTTTATAAGCTTCTTGGGTGGCACATAAGTATGATTATGGGGGGTGACAATTTTTGTATTAGAGCTGAAAGAATGGGTGTTTATGTCCATAAGGATCATTTTGGGATGGTTCTGCTAAAAGTGGTTCTCTCTGAGCTCTGACATAAATAAGAGCAAGGAAAGAGAATTTGCTTTGAATAGATTTGATTTTGGGGATTTTCAATTATTAGCCAGCGTCATATTGGAACCTGTTCTTCAATTATAGATAAGTTTTAGTGTGAAAAAGTCTGAATCAACTGCAAGAGGCAATTAGTAGGATACTTTGAGCCCACACACCTTCATAGCTGACCTAACATCATAGGGTGGTAATGCACCTTTCATAGGATAGATAGATAACAAAAAGTGAAAAAAGATCATAATCAGGTCAGGGCATTGCTTGCTTGGAATCGCATTATGTAGTTGGATTTTTTGACTCTCAAACCCTATTGGAAATTGCATTTATTATGAGGTAGCAACAAGGCATGAAAGCATTTTTATAGTATCTGAAATCATATTGAGCATGCTTTGAAGACTTTGAAAAATAAGAGCAAATCAGAAAGGTTTTAAAAAATGATTGAAACATAGCTTGATCCTAGTTTGTAGTTCAGTTAGGTCCTGCTTTCTGTGATACATGCACAGATATGCTATGTTTTTCTTTGACTTTCCTTTCTTCACTTGATTGTGTAATAATCAGATCATCTCAGTGTTTCAGCTGCTTGGTTGGTTATCATAGTTTACACTTGGCTGATAGAATCTTTAATTAATTAGTTCAATCTTTATTAGCCATGAAGGTGCGATCATCTGTGAAGAAAATGTGTGAGTTCTGTCGCACAGTCAAACGACGAGGGCGAGTGTATGTGATATGCTCAGCTAATCCTAAACACAAGCAAAGACAGGGCTTGTCAACTTTTGCATATGAAGGACCAATACCCAGCACGTATGCATTCTCATGAACTATCTCCCTTCTGTTTTACTGAACTTGTTTATTTATACACACCCCGTTAAGTTTACTAACACCTTAAATATGTTAGCTAACTTTGTAGTTTCCTATGTCACTCTTATTTCTGTGCGCATTATTAGATAGACATTTGTCCAACTCTAACCTCTCTACAACTGAACTATTACAGTCTTCTCCTAAACGCATCCATTCTATTTTTTTACACATAAAATCATGAGTATGCTCATTTGAACATGTTAAGAGTAAAGCACTCAGTTTTGTCCTTACATTTAAAAACCTAAAGCACCACTAGCAATGTTCCAGGAAAACATAATCTGCTTTAAGCCATAGGAAGGGGAACAGTTATCTTGCACGGTTCAAACCTTGGAATTATATGAACCTTATATGTCAAAGTGGATTACAATTGAAGGTCCAGCATTGCAAACATGTGCACTATCTACATAAATGGCATCACAATGGATATTTTAACTTTCATTCTATTTGATGGAAGGCTGAAATCTTGTTCTATTTGAACCTATTCTATAAATTGTAAAAATATTTTATCCATTAAGCTACTAGTGGCATCTTTGAGGACCAAGTTTGTTCCATTTTTCAGCACATAAGTCATGGTTGTCTTTTGTTCTGTATTTTGGATTCAACCTCTGCTCCTTCCAAATGAAAAGTTAAATCAAAAGGCTGTAATTTTACCCTCTTTTCTGGTCAAAAGCTTGAAACCAAACAATGGGCAGAAGTGGTGAGATCATGGACAATTTCATTTAAGAAAATAAGTACTCCGTACTTGAATATTGTCATTTTCCATTCAATGAAATACAAATATATTCTTCCTTTTTGTAATTGTGTGTTTGTCGGTAGAGAACAAAATGCAACACACTGATTACTTTTGGGTCACATCCATCTCAGGTCTTTGGTTACAAGTGCAAAGCAGGAGATGCCATCCAGCAATGTTATCAGCAGTGGTCTGCCTTCTCTTATAACCAAAAATTCTGAAGTATTGATCACACCGTGGTGGAGAAGGGGTTTGGCCTCTATTCTGCTCAATCAGGGTAGTAAGCAGTAGAAAGACAGCCAAGAAATTTTTATCTGACTTCTGACTCTATGAATTTCCCTTCTGTTTTTTTTTTTTTTTTTTTCACTTTGGATTTCTAAAGCCATTTTCCTCATTCACAAACACATGTGGGTAGTGGGTACACCAATGGAATGAAAGCTGAAAGAGAAATCTGCAGATACTTTTAACCAGTGACATTGGTTTTTTTTTTTTTTTAATATATAATTTTACTAAGCAGTATTAAGTTATAAGGGTGCTTCATTTCCCTTGGCAATAACCATATATTTATGTCCCGTCTTAACCCTTTCGGTTGATCAAGTTAAGCACTGGGTAATTCCAGCCAAGATGGCTAAGGATACCAACTTGTAACTATTAGGTCACGAATCTTAGCTTTTTTGGTTTGACCCGTTCAACTATGAACAACTTAGGTTGGTTTACCTCTTTATGGTATTTTGTCGGATAGGGTCACAAGATAGGATTTATCTAGTGCAAATTCTCGAGTAGTGATTGCAGATTTTCTTCATCACCCAAAAAATCAAAGTTAATTGATTATACAACTTTATGTATTCTGTACCATTATATATGGTATCACATAAATTTTCATAAAACATTTTACTACTTATTTTGTAGATTATTAGTAATTGATTTTGTTTGTAAAGTGAGTTTTTTGGTATTAGGGCATCTTCAATAGTGGAGACTTTGGTATAGTTTTTTAGGTGCCAAGTAGGAGAGATGGGGAGGAAAGAGAAAGAGGAGAAACAGTAAAAAAAATAAAATGAAAAGAGGTTTTTAATGCAAGAAAAAAAGAACAACCAATTGTTATCTTTATCTTGCATTGGGACCACAAAAATCTCATTTTTTGCAGGAGGACCTCTAGCATTCTCTCACTTGCTTCTCTTTCATTCATGGTGGTAAGTTTTTATTAAAAACTGTAAACAATCCCCTAATGGAGATGCTTTTAAAATTAAAGTCAGATTTTGTCATAGAATTATAGTGGGATAAAAAGTATTTGTAATAACCGTCACAAGACTCGATGGTGATGTCCAAATCAATTTAATCCAAGAAACTTCTGGATCATATAGCTATAGCTATAAAAAATAAATTCATAAGCTAGTATTGATCGTTACAAACAATTTCAATATTATTGTTTAGTACGGAGTAGTTGATCTAATTGTCAATTACATCTGACGTTATTCATTGCTGAGCTGAGCGTTCTACAGTTGTAGAACATCAAATTTTGGAATTAAAAAAAAAAAAATGGTACGCATATAAACGGTGCAAATACAATAATGGATATGGAAAATCAACTATAGGGATTTGGAATGATGCAATATAAACCAAAGCTTTCAATTGGACCGGAGCGGAGTTGTATGACAATTTACATTTCCAATTGGAATCCTAATAATTGCGTCGGCACAATTATTGAGCGGTTATGTGTATGATTGTTTGAATGTCTTGTCCAGCCAAAATTCCAAAACTACCCATTCTGTTCCTGACATTGAACAAACAACTTTAACATTAAGATGGCGTTTTAGTTGGAAGAAGAGAATTATGAGAAAAATGTTCGCATGGATAGCTCAAGTGATCTAGAAGTGAAAGTTGAAAAGAATGATCATGGATCGAGTCTCACCAGTGGCAGTGTGTGAGCAATCTCTCAAAGTGAGGGGGGCTTTTTGTGCACAGTAAGCAAAGGTCTATCCTCTGTGGTTTATGTTCAGTTGAGTTACCATGTAATAAATTGCAATTTCATTAGAGATGAATAATGTAACAATAAAGTGAAAATTTAAATTTTAATTCCAATGTTCTAGCAGTGATATAGCTACTGACATGGAAATTGAGTATGCTGCCCTATCTCTTACGATCCGGAAGAAGCGGAATATCAAGCTGAGAAAGAAATCACTGATGATACTAACGTTGTCACTCCGTTCATGCTTATCGGAAGGCTTCTAACTGATAAGCCCGTTAAGTTCAACTTTTTTAGGGATACGATGGCTTCCATATGGCGTCCGGGCAAAGGGATGGTAGCTAGGGAGATCACGAACAATTTGTTCTTGTTTTACTTTTTCCATGAAGTGGATCTGAGCCGTGTTGTGGAAGATGGTCCCTGGTCGTTTGAACAGAGCTTGTTACTTCTTGAACGCGCTGCCCCTAATAGTTCTCCAGCTACCGCTTGCCTCAGATTCACGGAGTTCTGGGTCCAGGTTCACAATCTGCCAATGAGTCTTCATAATAAAAAGATGGCGAAAAAGATCGGTTTCTTTCTTGGGGAGTTTATCAAGGCGGACGAAATCAACATGAATGGATTATGGAAGTCATTCATGAGAGTGAGGGCGAGAAGGGACGTTACTGTGCCCCTGAAGAGGAAGATGAAGTTTAAACCAAGTTAAGGTGAAGCTTTTTACATGGACTTCAAATATGAAAGACTTCCGACTCTCTGTTTTCTTTGCGGATTACTTGGTCATAGCGAGAGGTTTTGCTATAAACAATTAGAAGGAATCACGAAGGACTCGATCAGACCTTATAGTTCTGACCTTAGGGCGGCCGGCCGCTAGACTCAACCAAACCGCGGACAGAAGTGGCTTCTGCAAGAGTTTCCCCGTCGGGTGGCAAATGAGGAAACGTCAACTCCACACTTTTCGCAGGCCAGTAGGGAGCAGGGACAAAATGATGATTTGGGCAAACAGAACGTTGAAGATGGAGGGCATTACTCGGTGGATCCTTGTGTGCAATCTGATGGTACGCAGGAGACAAGAGCATTTAATGAAAAGCATTTACAGCCGGATGGACATTTAATTCTCACTCTGCCCAACTTTAATTCGACGCTCCCCCAACCCTCTTATGGGCCAGTGCTATTGGATCAAAGAAAGAGGAAGGTGGGCCGAACCCATGAAGACAATATCCACGAAGACCAGATGGTGGTGGACTTATCCATCCAGAACAGTGGGCCAAAAAACTTGTTGGAGGCAGGACCTATGACGCAAGCCCGCATAGATCAATGAGTATCTTGTCTTGGAACTGTCGGGGGATGGGCAACCAACCAACAGTTCAGGTGTTAATGGACCTTGTCCACCAGAAAAAGCCCGTTGCGATTTTTCTTATGGAGACGTTAGTATGTAATAGTAAATTGCAGGCCCTCAAAATCAAGTTGGGCTGGGAAGGATGTTTTACTGTGGACCTAGTGGGCCGTGGAGGTGGCTTGGCCTTTTTGTAGAAAAAAGAGACAATGGTCTCGGTCGTGTCTTTCTCCCCGAATCACATCGACACAACTATCCAGTTAGAAGGAAGCAACCAAACATGGAGGTTAACAGGTTTCTATGGTATGCCGGAAAGGTCGAGACACTCAGAGTCCTGGGACCTTATCTTCCATTTGTCAATAAGAAGTGTTCTTCCATGGATGCTCATGGGTGACTTCAATGATATGCTTTCCCAGGAAGATAAAAGAGGTAGGCACCCTCATCCAGAGTGGTTACTTAGGGGTTTTAAGAATGCTATTGATGGTAGTGGCTTAAGGGAGCTCCCTTTTCATGAATACCAATTTACTTGGGAAAGGGGGAGGAGTACTGTGAACTGGGTAGAGGATAAATTGGATAGAATTTTCGTCTCGGATGCTTGGTCTGAGAGATTCGAGAATGCCACGGCCTCTTCGGTTACTATCCCGACCAGTGACCATCTTCCACTGGTTGTAACTCTTATCCCCACGACCAGGACTAGAAGTGTTTTCAGGTTCAGGTTCGAGAATATCTGGATAAAGGAAGAGATGTGTAGGGAAATTCTATGGTCTACTTGGGATCACTCTAGAGGGGAGGAGATGTTGAGTCGTTTGGGGCGCTGTAGTAAAGCCATCTGGGATTGGGGCAGGGGTCTGTCAAAAGATTTCAACAAAGATTTAAAGAGATATAGAAGACAGATGGAATTCTTTAGAGATAAATCTGACATTCATAGTGTGCATGCGTATGGGGAGGCTCAACGATAATTCCTAAGGACTCTTAACTAACAAAGTGATTTTTGGCGTCAAAGAGCAAAGGTTTCGTGGTTTAGGGAAGGTGATGCAAATACTAAATTTTTTCACAACACTGTCAAGGGGAGGAGGAATGCCAATAGGATTGAAAAGTTGATGGATGAGAACAATTTGTGGAGACACATGGGACCAGATTTAAATGGCCTCATCTTTGATTATTTCAATGTTTTATTTCATAGCAATCTGGGTGATTTGGATGGGGTGCTTCGTTGTATTAAGAAGAATGTCACTACGGTACAGAACACAACTCTAATTCGCAAAGCCACTTATGAGGAGGTGAAGGCCGCTGTTTTTAGCATGCACTAAGACAAATCGCCAGGTCCAAACGGCTTGAATTCGGGATTCTACCAAGCATACTGGGACATTCTGGGAGTTGAGCTTTTTGAGCTATGTAATTCTGTTATTACCACATGCTTGCTTCCCGGAGGTATCAACCATTCGCATCTGGTTCTTATACCAAAGAAGACTGTTCCAACTGGGATGGGAGATCTAAGGCATATTGCCCTTTGCAACGTCATTTACAAAATCATATCCAAAGTCCTTGCAAACTGATTGAAACCACTCCTCAGTCATTTAATCTCTGAAAATCAATGTGCCTTTGTTCCGCAACGTCTGGTCACCGGTAATATTATGTTGGCATTTGAAACTCAACATTTTCTGAAGAGGAAAACTCAAGGCAAAGATGGATACGCAGCAGTCAAGTTGGATATTAGTAAAACCTATGACAGGTTCGAGTGGTATCTTCTTCAAGCTGTTTTAACAAAAATGGGTTTTGATTCTCATTGGACCAATATGATATTCCAGTGCATCTCCATCCTACATATTCTGTTCTTCATGAAAATAAAGAAATTGGTCCCATCTCCCCCATGAGAGGTTTGCGGCAGGGAGACTCCCTCTCACCATACCTTTTCATCTTACTGACAGAGGGTCTGAGTGCACTGATTAATGATCTGGAGGCTAGAGGAGCGATTCACGGTATATCTATTGCTAAGGATGCACCAAGGATTTCCCATTTATTTTTCGCCGATGACAACTTTATCTTCATTAAAGCTAATGAACTGGAAAGCATTATTTTGAAGGAGACTCTAGAACTCTATGGGAAGGCCTCAGGACAGATTATTAACTATGAGAAATTTGCCATTTGTTTTAGTTCTAATGTCAGAGGCAGTATAAGGGGGCAGTAAAGAGCATTCTCCAAATTAATTGTGAAGGGGCCGATGGTAACTACTTGGGTCTACCGGCAGTGATCGAGAGGAATAAAAAGAATATTCTAGGATTCATAAAGGAGCGGATCTTAAAGAGGATGCAGAGTTGGCCCAATAGGTTTCTTTCCAGGGCTAGTAGGGAGGTACTTCTGAAGAATGTTATCCAAGCTATACCATTGCATGCCATGCGCCTGTTCTTATTGCCTAAGGAGTTGACAAGGGAGATTGAGAGGATCATGAACTCCTTTTGGTGGAGAGGAGATTGCAGAGGAAAGAGAGGTATCAACTGGAAAGAATGGAAGCATTTGGCTAAACCAAGACAGTGGAGAGGCCTAAATTTTAGGAAACTTAGAGAGTTTAATCTTCCTATGGTTTCCAAATAGTTCTGGAGATTGATGCAGAACCCATCGTCACTGGTTGCGAAAGTTTACAAGGCAAAATATTATCCAAATTCATTTATTCTTGAAGCAAAGAAGGGAAGCAATCCATCATTCATTTGAAGTAGCATTGTTGAGACTCAGGATATCATTCGACAACATAGCAGATGGAGGATAGGAAATGCTACATCGGTTAAAATCTGGGGCGACAAATGGCTTCCAAGTCCGGACAACCCCAAGATTATAACTCCACATTTCCCCCTTCTCCAGAATGAGTCAGTTTCTGCTCTATTTAAGGTGGATAATACTGGTTGGCATGAGGAGGTTATACGAGAGATCTTTTATGAAAGAGATGCAAATCTTATTCTTAGCATTCCATTGGCTCTTGGTACAAGAAGGGATAAATTAATTTGGAACAGCGATAGCAAAGGGACATTTATTGTCAAGGCTTGTTATAGGAATATTTCTGCTCAGCTATCCCCTGCTCAAAGGTTGAACTAGACGTCTATGTGGAATCTCAATCTGCCAAAGAAAGTTAAAGTGTTTGTATGGCAGGCTTGCTCAGATTGCTTACCCACTACTGATAGATTGAGGAACAAATGTGTGGATTGCCAAGCTGTGTGCCAATTATGCAATGTGATGGAAGAGACAACCAAACATCTGTTCACCGAGTGCGCCTTTGCTTGTGCTATCTGGAATCTCAGCGGAATTCATGTTCATTATGGAGACTTCACCAACTTTGCACAATGGGCTGACTTTCACGTTGGGAAGTTGGAGAAGGATCAAAGTCGTCTATTGTTGTTGCTATGTTGGAAGATCTGGCTTGCTCGCAACGAAAAAATCTGGAACGCCAAGATGTCATCGCCAGGATTCGTCCTAGAAAGCTCAACTCGTTTTCCCGCTGATTGGACTACCATTGTGTCGAGTAATACCTCCAGAGGTGAGAACAGACCTGTGCAAAAATGGGAGAAGCCACCTACGGGTTTTCTCAAGTTGAATACCGACGCCGCAATCAACCAGAATACCAATCAAATGGGCTTCGGGTGGGTGTTGAGATATGAAGATGGACGTTTTCTTGCAGCTGCATCCATCCCGTGGAGAGGCATATGCACACCAAAGGAAGCTAAGGCCATGGCGATGAGGGAAGCACTGAGTTGGTTAAAGGGCCAGAATATCAACTATGTTCGTTTGGAATCGGACTCTCTCCAGGTTGTTCAAAGCTTAATGCTAGATGTAGATGACTCTTCTTTTGATCTTGTCATGTTGGATATTAAAGATTTGCTACTTTCTCTTAGGCATGTAGCTATCTTTCATGTGAAGCGTACTGCGAATAGTGTATACCATAGTCTTGCTAGGGAAGCCTGTTCTATGTCTGTACGGAAGGATTGGTCATGTAACACCCCCCAAACAAGCTAGGTAAAAGCCTTAACACATGCAGATTATACGACAAAACTAGCACAACGGAAGATAAAACGAGAACTGGATAAAAGAAATCCAAATGGGGTGTTACGCCACGTCTACCAAACACGGTAAACGCTACGGCGATCAATCTGCAAGTGTATACATCTATCCCAAAGACATCAGTCTAAAACTACATTTGGCGCACAGGCCACAAAACAAGGATCAAGGTACTAAGCTACCAGGCACTAGACATCGCGCTCGTCTAAACATCACCTGAAAGATACAAAGATAAACATTGGGACGACGCCCGGTCAGCAATAATTGCTGGTAACCCACCAATACATGTGAAATATCATACATAGATAGATATAAGTTGTAAAACCATTTTCGAAATGGAATACATAAGTATATAAGTCAAAAGCAAAGATCAACAGTCAACACAAGACTCATCACTCACAAGGATAACACGGGAACACATCCCAAACCACAAAGGTTAACCACACGCAAAGGATAAAGACAAGACCGATGGCAACACATGCCTAAGCAACACATGCCTCCGTGACTACACACGTCACGAGAGAAGAATACAGAACACCGGCTACACAAGCCCTCGCAACATCACCCATCACGAGTTGATATGCCTTCCTTATGCCCTGTTCCAACCTTATGGCTACCCCCAACCTTATATCTTCTTCCAACCATTACCTCCAGGACCCCTGTACAGCCAAGTCCAACCTTATTCCCCCGGGACTGTCGTCCCCCACCAACGAGACCACTAATTCATAGTACACAAGGTACCGTACACGGCAACACATGCCCGGATAACACATGTTATCCCCCAAAAACGTGAACCTTACACAAAGGCCACAACTCCATAATCACGTCACGGCCACCACGAGGACCGCTGCAATACCTTGGTGACTAGTGTCCCATACCACTAATCGTGCAATCCAGGTAAAGCTACACACGCACCACAACTCAACAAGAGTCAAACAACGGATCACAACGAAGGTATGAAACATACTCAATCAAGGAACGGGTCACAGCCCAATAACATCAACGATGAATAACACAAGTTATCATCAACCAAACGGAAGGTACAAACCATACACATGCTAGTATTAAGACAATAAACTAGCATGCTTAACAACGGAGAAACTCAAGATAGTTCCGAGGAACACACAAGACACCTCTTGGTCCAACGAAACACAATGTTGAACACTTAGCACGATTCAAGACACCAAAGTCCTACATGGATACCTACCATATAGTTCTAGACATACGAAACATCAAGAAGACACTCAAATAGTTCCACAAAAGAACATCGGGAAGTCAAAAGACCAATTACCGGGTCAAAAGAATCACGGGGAACAAATCCCGAACAAACACCACCATGTACCCGCGGGTAGTGCCCCACCCGTGGTTCCGCCCACGGGAACATATTCCCACAGGGCTTTGTACCCGCGGGTAGGCCGGCGGGTGGTGCCCCGCCCGTCGTTCCGCCCGCCGGAACACTCCTGTTCCACAACAAATCCCTTCGGGGATTTTCTTCTCCAAACACAAATTCAAGTCCAAAACATGCCAAATCTCACCCAATACAACAAAATGAATTGAACCATGGAAAATGCCAAGCAATGGCACAAAGGAACGCCTAAACACAAGCTCTAGATATGCAATATCACAAGACAAATGCATAAACTCTCACATTTCGTAACAAAACACAAGTAGAATCCAAGAAATCACATATAGGTAAGCAAAATAGATTTTGTAGAGTATGGGTTACCTCTTGTAGACCAAAAGACTTCACTTTACACCACAACAAGCTCCCCACAAGGCTTACTTTCTAAACCCACTTCAAGATCAAACCAAAAGATCATAAAGATCCTACCTTTAAGAAAAAGACAACTAAGATGGAACCAAAAATACAAGATGAACTTAGATCTTACCCTCCTAGATGCCCAAATAGGTGAAAGGTTGAATCTTGGTAGCAAATCTTGGAATCTTGACAAGGGTCTCAACTTGGCTTGGAGAATAAGCTACTCACCTTTTCTAGAGAGAAGGTAGAGCTAATTTCTAAGAATTGTAAGGAATGAAATGAAGAAGTCTTCTAGGTTAGGTTACAATACTAACTCTTGGTGAAAAGTCAAGAATACCCTTACTAACCTTTAGAAAGTGTAAGGAACAATGGAACTCCCCTCAAAGCTCAAGGTACAACACAACTTTAAGGTGGACTAGTCAAATACTAGTCCTTGAGTATTAAAAATCAGGATTTTAGGAATTAATTCTTCAAATAAAATAGGATTAATTATTCAATTAATCCATGGATTGAACGTGGATTTTTGGGGTGTCACAGGTCATCCAACCCTCCCTCTTTTATTGTTAACGATTTGTATCACGATTTGCAGTAATGAAAATTATGTTTTACTTCAAAAAAAATGTTCTATATATATGGAAATTAAAAAGAAAGAAATACTATAAAGTTCAAAATGCTCACTATTACTATTACTATTACTATTACTATTACTGTTACTGCACATACACTATCGACTGCTGCATAGAAAGAATGAAAATTGTGCTGTTGAAAATTTAGGCAAATATGCTATACCTATACATAATACAAATTTTGTTGTTGAAAAAACACCGACTAAATTGAAATTTTGATTTTGAAAATTTATATAACACGCTATAAATAAACTTTAGAATTGAATTGAAAGCAATAAAATAGACAAGAGAGTTTTGTGAAAATATACTTGATTGAGGTTGGCCAACTGATTGAGTTTATGTGTTGAGAGTATAAGAAGAAAACACGCTATGATCGTGTGGGAGAGGTTAGACATCTATTTTAGGTTTAAAAAGAAAAAAAAGAGAGAGAGAGAGAGGTGTAATTTTGTTTCAAGGTTATCTTGAATCAAGTTATTTATGATTCAATTTTTCATATTATTTAGGTTAGTAGTAGTAGAGTTACACTCTCGTACAAATGGATTTTCCAAGAGCGAAATAGGAATGATTGCTATTCGCCCACATGTGCAGATCTAATGGATGATAAACACTGATTTTTTTAAAAAAAATGCGGGGGCATTTTCGTAAATAATTGAACATCGAAGTGCAAGTAAAATGTATTACAAATGCATGTAAAGTGTATTATAGGTGCAAGTAAAAATTTACACTAAGCATCAATACTAACTGCACCTATAGTTATAAGTAGTTGCACTTATGTGCATGAATTTTTGTGGGTGGTTTTCAGGAATATTACTACCCGCTGAACTCAGATCAATGAATGTTAACAAGGCAAAATTACATGCACTTGCAGACGAAAGTAGATGCACTTGTAGGTGAAAGTAGGTGCACCCGATCAATGAATGAAGGCAAAAAACTACATGCACTTGCAGGCGAAAAGTAGGTGCACTTGTAGGTGAAAGTATGTGCACCCGATCAATGAATGCTGACACGTGGTGCGCGCGGATTGATTCGCATTTCTCTCATGGGCACGTATTTGCACCTGAACGCCACCCAGTAGTAGTATATAAAATTTTTATGTTTAAAAATTATATTAAAAGTATTATTAAATAAAAAATAAAAAATTAAAAAAATAATATCAAACAAAATAAACAAAAAAAAAATGAGAATGATTTGTCTAACTAATAGTAAACCAGAAAACTAAAAGGAGGCTAAAATAGGAATTCAATATTTGGAATAACTTTTTTTGAACTTTTTTAAAGTTTAAAATTGTTTTGATAATGGAGAATATGAGCAAATGAGCAATTGAGCATTAATGTTATCCAAAGTGGTCCACCACCGTCCACAGCTTTAAGTCTGGGACTTAGATGCTACGGCGCCCACTTCATTTTCCCTCCAAAGTCCAACCCGCTGTGTTCACTGTTCAGCAGTCCATCAATGGAAGAAGAAACATCGTAGAAAAAAGCTGTCGCTTTAGCTTATCAATACCTACACTACTAAAATGGGTATTCTCCTTTTCTTTTCCTCTTCCTCTTTCAAGGATAAGGCTTCAATGGTTTCCATTTTATGATCTGCTCTGTCTTACGAGTACTGGAAGCGTGTTGCTTAATCCGACTCTACCATGGTGAACGAAGACTCTGCTGCTTGGATCACTCAGCTTCTTGCTTTAATGGGGTATGTATTTGGATTTCACTTCAGATTTTTTTTTTCTTGATTTTATTTGTGTGGTGAATTTTGAGTGCTTCATATTATCTTTTCTGGTAGCTGAGCGAAAGGGCGGAATTAAGTAAAAACGCGTAAATATATTGGCCTTTTTCCGTTGATCAAATTTATGGAATCAGATCCTTTTTGTAAAATTTTGTTGGATGTATTATGATGAATGTTTATTGTCCAGGTAATTGCTCTTTAATTTGTTTTTTTCTTAATATTTATTGTATTTATTTGGATTTTGCATAGTAATCAAGTTATTTTAATTCTCTTAGTTACAGAGTCTTCTGCAATCTCCAAGGGAGCATGAATATGAAACATTCAATGAAGGAATGTCTCGGGGTTTGATGTTACTGAAAAATCCCTTTGGCTTAAAGGGCAAATTGATGAAGATGCAGAAGTATCTGTATTTTTCCTGGCTTGGAATGGGTAGTCAAGAAGCATGTTGATAAATCAAATGCAGCTGTGTTGGGATTTTGTTAAAACACAGTTGTTTAGTAAGGCAACAAATAGATAGAATAAGAAATGAATTCATTCCTAGGAGATAATACAGACAAACAGATTAAGGTGTTTTGGTGTGATAGGAAATAGGAATAGAGTGAATCAGGAACAAGTCACATATAACTTGGGGGGTGTGGTTGAGTGGAAGGGGCTCATCCATCCTTAATCAAACTTCAAGGGTTTGATCCTTGGCTCTGGGTATGGAGTAGCTTTAAATCTCCATTCTCCAAGCCTGAGGTGCCTACAATTCAACGGTAGAAACCCCTACAAGTCACATATAAGAAACCTGTTGCAGTATTATTTAGTTCTAGGAGAGAGAAAAGGGATGGATAATCATAGTAATACTTTACACGGGAAATGTTCTCAGGGGCTTGGTAGGATGGTCACTGTAAACACTTTTGGCAAGATGGCTTCAATTAAGCTTAGTTATGAGGATATTACAGATGGGCTGTTTGTCATCAATATTCAAGAATCAATTGTCTTATTCTCATTAAGCTAAACCATTGTTATTGGCTCATTGCCTAGTATGTTTGAAGTCCATGGTAGATTTTACAGTGGCAATTCAAATTGCAAACTATGATAAACCAAGATTCTTTTGCTTCTCAAAAATTGCATCTTATTGATATAAATGAACCTGCGGTTGGCTAGTGAGCTAATTTGCTAATCGTTCTTATTATTTTATCAAAAAGTGTTTCTTGTTGTTACTATGATTGTACATACACCTAAACTCAGTTGACACTGAGCAGAGGTTGCTTGGGTTTATGCGAAAGCAAGATCCATGGGCAGTTGGTGAGGAAATCAAGCATATCCGAAGGTTTCTGGAGCACTAGCACATATGATTTGGAGAGTAGTACTATTATGCCTCAGAGAAGTATGACCTCTATCACTATACCGAATCTGAGTCTCACTCAGTACAGTGGCACTGGCAATACTATCACCCATGAAGAATTTGTAAATCAGGGTAAGTTCATTTCAACTTTTGAGCTTTCTTCTGTGAAGTGCATAGCTTTATCTGTTTTATGTCTTTGATGCATAAATTTCATTGTAAACAAGAATGGATTATTTTGACATCTTTAGTTTTGTAGGTCAAATTAGCGTATGCACAGCAAGCTTCAAACAACTTGTCTGCACATGACAGTGATTCTGTTCATCATTTCACGGATTTTTGCATTGCAGGTTATCTTTGGTGGAAACAGAATAGGCTTCAGTGGCGTGGAAGTAAAAAGACTGAGAACCGGAGACTAGTTTGGAAATCAATACTCGAGTAAGAACCTTGCACTTTTTCATGTATTCCATGAAACATTTAAAGTCCAGAGTTATATTTCTTTGAGTTAATTCCGAATTTAGTCATCGGACTATAACTCATTTCCAATTTTAGTCCTTGACTTTTAAACCTACTAAATTTAGTCCTTGAGTATTGAATCATTTTCCATTGTAATCCACTGTAAATTTTCTTGGTGTGAACGGTTAAAATTGTAGGTGAAATTAGGACTGCTAGAGTAAGAAAATTAGGGCTTTGTTTTCTGCATGTGAAAAATAGTTGGCACAATGATCATAACTTTCCAATTTTGCCCTCAATTTTAACTGTTTACACAGCGAAAACCTTACCGTTGATTACAATTGGAAAGGATTCAATACTTGAGGACTAAATTTGGTAGCTTTAAAAGTCAAGGACTAAAATTTAAAATGCGTGATAGTTAGAAGACTAAATCTGAAATTAACTCTATTTCTTTTGTAAATAAGACCTGGCATTTGTCTTCATACATCACATAATTTTCTCTGAAGCTGCAGACTATAGGTAGAATATTGGGGTTTTTACGATCTCTATTGGAGCATTTTTACTTTCTCTGCCCTTTAGCTGAAAATGTTTCTTATGTGTCTGTCATTTTTAGTTGGGATGCTTCCTATGAATGCACTGCAGAGACTAGCAAGCCTTTCCCTTGTCCAATTCCCCTCTCTGTGAGTTTATTTTCTACTCACCACCCACCAGCCCTTATAAGTTCATTTCTGCTTTCCATTGTTTTGCTGACTCGATCCATTGACAGGAAATGGTTGACCTTCTTGTGGATACATGGGAGGAAGATGGATTATATTATGAATAATGCTAATTTCAGAACCATTACTGTACTGATTTTAGCTAAGTATCTGGTCTTGTGTGTCAATTTCTGCTATGAAAAGGATGTATATATACTATATAGTTAGGCAACTTACTTCTCTCTCTAATTACTTTTAAAGATTGTGTTAATTGTATACTGCCATTTAAAATGCTTATGTTTCTCCAGTTTTAGAGTAGTATTTGCTTCTATATTTGGCTTTTTCATTATCTGCATTCAATTCTGCTTTGTAATATGTTTTTATAGATCTAAAGTTGGATGATGAGAACTGAATGTATTGTATTGATTGAATTGATTACAAAGATACTATATATATATATATATATATATATATATATATATATATATATATATATATATATAGAATAAGGATCATATGCGGCAGTGGCTTTAGGTGCGGCGGTGCGGCCATATCAGCGTCGTCCATTCTGCTTAATCTAACGGCAACGGCTAATTTATGAAGATTTAAAGATTTAAGCGCGTCCTGGTAAGTGGGGGGTGTTATGGTAATTGTAGTGGTTATTTATATCGGTCGCTTGTCAGTATACACCAACAGTGTTAACAAAAGACACCAATAGTGTTAGGAAAAAGCACCACAATGAAATGCACAAATACACCAAAAAACACACAACACACCCAAAAAATACACCATATAACTCACCACCCCAATGGTGTATTCTGAACACTGTGTGATGCTTTTAGTCATACCTAGTGGTGCGTTCTGGTGATGCGTATCGAATTTGTGCATGTTTTTTTGGTGTGCATTTTCTAACATTGATGGTGTATATTTGTATAACTATTAGTGCGGTCGCACTGACCGCTCGGGAAGGCACCAACACGAATTCTCAAATACACCATAGTAAGGTTAATAATGCACCAATGATGAATATAAAACACAACACTATGATTTGATATATTCTGGTGCCCAATGACGACTTTAACCTTGCAGTTCGCGTACTGTGAGAACGCGCGCGAAAATATCGGAAAAGCCTTGATGAATGTGATTCGTTGGATTTATCTAATCTAATGGCCTACAATTAATCGCATCGCCGCACCTAAATGCACTGCCGCACTTGAACCTTCCTCTATATATATATATATATATATATATATATATATATATATATATATATATATATATATATATATATATATATATATAGTGAGGAAATCACAAGGAGACCAGGATAGGGAGTCATAATTTAACTCAAATACATAAAGTCCTAATACTTCCTTTCAAGCACGGGGTAAATTAGTAACATGTAGCTTGTTTTTAAGAAAAAAAAATTTAGGACCAGAGCTTTAGTAAAAATATTAGCAAGTTGATCTTTGGTTGAAATAAAATTGACTTGAATATTTCTAGAAGCAACTCTGTTTTTAACAAAATGATAATCAATCTCAACTTGTTTGGTATTGACATGAAAAATCGCAGTACCACTGTGCTCTGTTCATTATATAGGCGCGGTTTAGTCATTTTTACATGGTTTTGGACCTTGTTCCAATCCTAGACATTCTCTACTCATTTCTTTCATATTTTTAGGTTAGATTAGTTTTAGATTTATGTTTCTTAACACTTTTGAAGCTTGTAATCTTGGATTCCAACAATTCAAGATTTAACCATCCATTTTCAATAGAGAAACTTTCTTTCCCTTATCTTTTTCTTTTGCAAGATTTATGTTTAATGCTTGTGTTTTTGTGTTCTTTATGCTATTTAATCAAGTAGTTAGTTTATGGACTTGAGTTAGGGTTGTATTTTCTGTTTTGATGCTTGATTTGTGATTATTGCAAAAAGGGGAAGAACTCTAACCTAGGGTTCTTGAGTTTATGAAGGATTTGTGTTTGTATATTGTTAATGCTTGGTGTACAACATTCATTGGCATGTTTTGGAGGATTCTTGGCCTCAATGAGAGTTGGGTCAAGATTCCAAGCCACTCCTTGCATAAACCTGATTTTTCCTATGAAAATGGGGGAAATGGGGGGTTTTAGATGTTTTGTGTTCTTGAAGAACTTGGAGTTGATTCACCACGAGAGTGGGGCAATTCCTTGTTCTAATCCTTGTTAATTTGCTCACGTGAGTGACTTATAGACTAAGATTCCTATGTGCATCCCATCTATTCCTTGGTTGTGTTATTTTTCCCAATCCTTAGGTTGTGCTATGCATCTAGAAGATAATGCTCCCTAACTTGAGTCCTATTTTTTTTATTTCGTGTTTACATCTTGATAATGTGTTTGTGTTACTTTGTTTAGTTACCGTAGTCTCAATCTCGTTATGATTTGCTTAGCTTCTTGTTGATTTCCTTATGCTAGTGTCTAGTTTCTTGTGATTGCATATTGTGTGCCATAACGCCCAATCTCCTGAGGACGACATTACACACCCGTACACTCACCATCACTTATTTTTGCTACAATCATCAAGTGACTCAACAGAAAGTAAGAAAGAAAGAAAGAAGAGAAAAGGAGTTTTTTTCCCAAAATGGTCCCCCGATTATCGCACATTCTCAATTTTGCATTTCGACTTTTAATTGCACACAATGAGGTTCCTTGACTTTTAAAAACTCTCCCAAATTGGCCCTCTATTAGGAATTCCATCTATTAAGTGTTAAAATGAAGGGTATTTTCGTCCGTTTACCTATTATACGCCTAATATACTATGAGAAATAGTCGAGGGACCATTTTGGGGAGAAAGTTTAGGGGACGTTTACTAACAGAAAATTTTCAAGAATTTTCGGAAATTGAAAATTGAAAACAGTCTAGGTGTTTACCATGCTATATTCTCATTTTCGAAATTGAGAATTATTCTCATTTTTTCAAGAAATTAGGAACACAGTTTAAAGTTGTTTTCAAAACTGAAAATTCATGCGTGAACAATACCAAGTTCACCCATCGAATCCGGCCAGCGTCATTTTTTTTTTCTTTCTACCTTATTTTCTTCTTTTGCACTTCCGCCTCCAACACAAAGCAAGCTCAGAAGCTTACCACACTTCAAATGTGTTGGTCCCGATAGGGTGGTAAAAAGTCTAGAGGTGGGGTGGGGGGTGAATAGACTTTTTAAACTTTTTCACAATAAATAACTCTTTGGTAATTTCAACTCTAAGTAACAAGTAAATAGAGAAGTAATTAAATTGAAATGCACAACGGAATAAATAAGTGTAAAGAGTTATGCCCAAACAATAATTTGAATCACATGCACGTGTGAAATTAATGCTCAGATGAGGTGTAAGGATGACATGAATATCTTAAATATTTAAAGGAGATGGTCCACTCAATATTTAACAATAATATTCAAGACTATAAATAAGATTTCGTATCACGTCGATCGTGCAATAAACGTTACATGCAACACGTCAAACTTGCTTAGAATAATTCAAGGGTTAAGCTCGAAAAGTTTGAGTTACATGCATACGTGAAAACATGCTAAACCCTAAAGATTAAGATAGACTGTGAATAGTAAATAGGTTAGTCGGATAAGATAGATAGATAGAGCGAATTATGTAAGTGCAGTATGTAAATGAGAGAGGCTTTTTATAGTGGTTCGGAAGTGGCGTAATCTTCCTATTCCACTTTACTCCATTCACTTGTAGGAGTAATTCACTATTTTCCACACACAGTTACAATAGTGAATAAGCGCTACACAAGCACTTCTTCCGGATGTCTTGCACACAGCTACACCCAACTCCGAGTGTGTCGCACACAGCTACACTCAACTACGAGTATTTCACACACAACTATACTCAACGCCAACCAAGTGTTTTGCACACAGCTACACTTAGCAATCACGAGTGTTTTGCACACAGCTACACTCACTAGAGTATTTTGCACACAGCTATACTCTTCTAACAGTTACAAATACAAAGGTAATTGTATCTCTCTCCAACTATTTTTGAGACTATTCAGACTAAGTCTCTAAAGAATATTTGAGCACTTGCACTTGTCTTTCTCGTGTATATTCACGTCTCCTTTTTGTATTCACCTCTATGCTTTCTTCAAGTCTTCATGGCCTTTTTATAGATAACCAAATATATCCGTTGGAGTGGGATAATTTGATATTTGAAATTTGAATCTTCATAGCCTGATATTGTTGACAATGGTAGATCTTCAATATGATTTGATTGTCAACTTGCCTGACAAGATAATATTTTATCTCAACTTGATTTTCAAGTTGTTTCTTAAAATATTATTTTTGTTGTCAATTTGAATTTCCAACGAATATTTTGAAAAAAATTCTTCTGATAGAATTTATTTCTAGGATAAGTTTTTATATTCATGTCTTCATAAATCTTTTTCCCGTTCTGATCATATCTTTAGGCAATTTTGGATTCTTGTTACATGTGGGCTGATTCAAAATAAATTCCTTCGAATTTATTCATTTTCAGATCATCTTGCTTCTTTGCCACATTGTGCTCCTTTGACTTAGGCACTTCTTGCTTGTTTGACTTGAACATTGTGCTTTTCTGATTTGATCACATTGTGCTCCTTTGGACACATCGTGCTTGTTTTGAACATTGTGCTTTTTTGATTTGATCACATTGTGCTCCTTTGGACACATCGTGCTCCTTTTGAACATTGTGCTTCTTTCAGGCATCGTGCTCCTTAGAGAACGTGCTCCTTTCAGACATTGCGCTCTTTTAGAACATTGTGCTCCTTGGGCACATTGCTTTTCTGATTTGATCACATTGTGCTCCTTTGGACACATCGTGCTCCTTTTGAACATTGTGCTTCTTTCAGGCATCGTGCTCCTTAGAGAACGTGCTCCTTTCAGACATTGCGCTCTTTTAGAACATTGTGCTCCTTGGGCACATCTTGCTCGTACACATCGTGCTCCTTAAGAACATTGTGCTTGCCCGAATTCTTGACTTGTAAAAATATAATTCCTTAGGGGGGAATCGATCTTAAGTATGATCATTTTATGTAATGACTTCTATCATTTCACCGTTAGGCTCATCCAGTTATTCGTTGTAACGCCATTCCTTTATGCTTCTTTCTCGGATGAATACTTGTAGGACCAAAATTAATTTTCCAAATTAATTTTGTTCTTCATATGGTAGATTTCCCTTGACTCGATATTCTGATTTATGATGTTTGTACTAGAGACCTAAAATCTAAGGGGATCTATAGTACATTTGGCTCATCAAAACTTACAAAAATATTCCTATCAATTTTCCCCCTTTTTGATGACGCCAAAACCTATA